GTGGCAGATACTGTAAAAAAGACTGCGAAAACATTGTTGAAACTATGCAAGCCAGAATTAATGCTGTGATTAAGCAACGAGCTATTGAAATGATTCGTGCGAACATTCATGTGTCAGCCAAATATTGAGTTGTTATCAATATTAATTTAGATGTATAGTTTATAGCATATTACTTAATAACAGTGTTGTCAATGTGATGACCAAACAATTATTTCAATGTCTTATAAAAAAAACTATTTTGTAACCTAGAGGCCCAGATAACACGCAGCCTCGAGTACTGCTCACACGTTTGGGGCGCTGCTGCCTCGGCTCCATTATCAAAGTTCGATGCTGTTGTTCAATGACTCTTCTCTAATGGAGAGTCTGGAAACCCTTTCGCTTCGTCGGGCCGTCGGCCATCTGACTGAATTCTACCGTTATGTAAACGGGCTTTGCTCCTCACAGCTCTCTTTCATGATGCAGTATGACATAATACAAGCGTATGAAACTCGTCAATCTTAGCGAAAATCTGATATTAGATTTATGATTTGTGATTTAGTCAGGAAACTCGTTTCAGTCGAGATTGAACAAATGCTAGAATCTCTCAATCCTCAAACCTCAATAGGAATATCAATACAAACGTACACTGTAGTTATTTGGTATGCTGTTTTAGAATATGGCCATCAAAATATGTTAAATGACCCCAAAGCCCTATTTAGTGACAAATCCCGCTTCTGTCTGGGGATGCACGATGGTCGGGAAAGAGCTAGAAGGCCACGTGGTGAAAGACGTGACCCACAATTTGATAGAGAGCGTCACGTTCACCACACCGTGGGAGTTATGGTATGGGGTACTATTGCTTATGGTAGCAGATCACCACTTATTTTCATCAAAAGCAATATGACAGCCCGACGCTACATTTAGGACCACTACTTCCTGCTTCATCCTATTCCATACCTAAACACCATTCAAAAACAGATTTTTCAGCAAGACAATGCCAGACGCATGTTGCCAGAGCATTGTTAGCCTTCATGGATCAACATCGCATCAACCGTTTACCCTGCTTTTGCTAGTAAGGGACACTGAACATATATGCCAAATATTATTAAAATCGGATGAACAAACGTAGGTGTTTACCTTTTTTGTCACCCAGTATATACCGAAATAACATACGTTGGTCGATATTGTATATACGCAAAACATTTGAAAATAATCACTATTTTACACAGGAAGTACGGAAATGGTGCCTTAGTCCGAACCTGTATTTGCATCTTTGAAGGTGTATCCCTCAGGGAATACGAACTATTCAGACAACTGGATATCCGTTTTCAATAATGAGGTTTATTTCTTTGCAACTGATTTGCTTCCGTAGATAGCTAACAAGTTACGAATTCTTGAATGGTCTATCGTATTTTCTATTCACCAAAAATAGCATCTCGTCGGAGAGGCAATATAAACTTGAAACAAGTTGATTCTCTCTTATATGAGACTTACTAAATTCAGTGATGAGACTGTTTTAATTTTTTTTTCAATATAATTACAATTTTATGTTGTAATCGTCAAACTAACTTCCTTCTGAAGCCACCCAGCGCTGGAGACGGTTCTTCCACTCCTCATAGCTGTGTTGGAACTACCATACCTATAGTCTTCAGCTGGTCGGTTACAGCCGATTGAATAGTTTCAATTGTCCCATATGGTGACTTTTCAACTTCGGGAACAGAAAAATAGTCACAAGGACTCAAGTCAGGCGATAAGTGACTGGAGCGAGTTCAAACTTGTACTGAAGGCCGATCATATGTTCCCCTGTCCCTACTCCAAGCCCGGCGCCTGCAGTGTTGCCAGATCGAACGCTACGTTGCCAGTCTCGTCATTTAATTTACAGACCTCATATGTTATAGTTGCGCCACGCCGCTTCGTGGGTACTCACCACGGTACCACCCTGCGAGGACAGTAACCTGTATACGATTTTTCGGATTAAGGCGTCAGCAGGTTACTGTCCTAGCACGATGGTACCATGGTAAGTGCTACCGAAATGGCGCGGTGCATCTAGAAAGCTATGATACAAAGAAAAAATATCTACGTATTTTTGCTATTGGCGAATTCCAAAATATATGCGCACCCCGGCAGTCACAACCTGAACCTTAGAAAGATAGTGACGTGAAATCAGCCGTTCCGTTTATTCACGTTAATCAAATCCAATCGAATAACCAAAATTTCTGTGTTATTTACCGAGGTTATAACGTGGTTCATGATGACACACGAGTTGATGACGTCAGTTGCTCGAAGCAAAGCTAAAAACGACGTAAAATTGGAAAAACAATCGTAATGAACAATTTGCTGCTAAACACTGTATGCCACTACATGTGGCGATACCGAACAATATCGGAAAAATTGTTACCTCTCGCTACCTGGTTTGTCGCTGGTGCCATTTAGTTCGAAATATACGGTTCTAAATGCAGATGTATTTTGGCACAAAATATTTATCGGATTTTTTTTAATAAAGAAGTTTATTCAAAGACTCTAACTAGTTATCATAAATTACAACTCAATACTCAAATAAACTATACTATTGAATAAGATGGAGTGGCCCATTCTGCTCTACCAAATGCAACCTTCTTCGAATGTCCTTTATGAGGTCCTGGACGGAATTCAGATCAATTTCTGTCAGCTTTTCGTAAATACGCCGTCTTAATTGTTCTTCATCTTGGGCTTCCCAGCCTTCATGATAAACCTTCCTAGCGGCAAGTTTGGAAGTTTTTCGTTTTTGGGAACAAAAGGTATGTTGTGTTGTTGAAGCCGGTTTTGAGTATCTCTTGAGTAATGGCATAATGCTAGGTCTGGCCAAAACATGATATCGTTCATTCGCAGGAAAACCGTCACAACTAAAAATCCTTTAATTTTCAGCAGGGGCAGTTGAAATAATGATATAAAAGGTTAAGTGTATTTACTATTTATTATATTTAACTTATTCAATCCAAAACATTCATTGCACTTTGTCAGTGACCTAGAGGAATTCTTTCTTAATATCGAGGTCATAGTTGTTTTTTTTCACAAGAAAAAATTACTAAGTGTCACTTTTCTGCCAGATTATTTGAATCAATTTTTGAGATGAAACACACATTGAGACTAAAAAAACTTTTATTACAAGTTCCAGGCTACCTTATAAAACTACAAACAATACTTATTGAGAACTCATTCATCAAACATAAAAGACAAATGGGTGAAACATGCCTAGACATAAAAAAGGTGAAACAAATAAATTCCGTCAAATTGGTAAATCCTAAACATTAATGTATTAAGCAATACAATCTTTACTAACGTCTTAGCTGTCCCGAAACGCCTCTCAAAATGTAAAAGTATTGTTAATACTATTCTTGGAGATTGCGGGAGTGCAGGTGCAGCCGAAATATGTATAAAATTTGTATTCCTTCATACAAGTTTAAGCTTGATACAAGTTTAGAGTTAACTTATAAATTTTTATAATAATCTAAGTAAACTCGTGGTACGGTTGACTTATTAGGATTTTTAAATAAGGATAGTAACGAGTTTTTCTTTTTTTCACTTATCCCTGGTTTGCGTTGATATGCTTTTTTAAGCACGACCGATTGGTTATTGAGGTCGTGATTCTTTCTTGAGGGGCCTCTCACAATTATTTTTTTGTATTCCTGTTCACTGTAGGAATTTTTGTAAAATACAGTATGTAGGTGATCCTTGGATATCATAATAACCTTTACTTCAGAAAGCTTGAAAACTTCGTTATCTGCGTTATTGGTGAAATTGTTGTACTGCATTTGGAATGGTAGATTTTTCAAATCAAAGAAATCTGAATGACACATTTCTGTGACTTTGTATGGATTTCCTGTTTTTTTAGCTGTACGGATTAGACTGTAATATTGTTCAGGGGTGTAGATTGGAGCAGACTTCAAATATCTTTTAATATGCCTTTCTATCACAGAGTGAGCACTATCGCCCTCATTCTGACTGTGCCCTGTTATAAGATATTTATGTGTAATGCTTCTTATATAGTTAAAGTGTGAAATAGCGTAAAGATACGTCGACAACAAGAATCTATTTTTTTGTTGGCCCCCACAGTTATCACTGTAAAATACTACATCAATCCCCGCTTGTTGTGATTCAGCTCTAGTGTTAATATTTTCTAGGTATTTGAGCACGCATGTCCCAATTTCGTCTGCACCTCTATGAGCATGGCCTTTATGCCAAACATAGCAGTCAACATCTTTCTTCTTTAGATCAAAAACTGTGAAGTTATACACATTCAACTTTGATATATAGTAGAAACTAGAAGTATCTCCTTTGGGGCAGGGCAATGTTGCTTGCAAGTCATACACGGCTACGTGCATGTCTGAATTTTTGTCTTTTTCTTTTTCTTCCCTTGACAGTTCTTTTTCTTTTTGATGTTCATTATACTTCTCATATTGAGAAGCTTTCTCTTCTGCACTCATTTGTTCGAAAGCAGTACAAAAGTCGCACTGGTCTTTCTTAGGAACGAAAAAAGATAGATTGAACTCTTCATTGAATATTTTGAAATACATATTGTAGTTGGCACTTGCAACCTTTTTTTCTTTACAAAGCATTACATATTCTCTATGAAGGTCTGCTACGGATTTCCCTCCTTCTATAAATTCTTTGGTCGTATTTGAGCGCGCATAATGACTCTCTATCTTTGGTATTCTTCTTATATGACTCCTTACGCTATTTTTTATGCCTTCGTCCAATTTTGGATGTTTCCCATGCTTACCTCGTCTGTCAGGTTCTATGATTTGCCCAGTTGGTGCTAATGCCTTTTTTTGAGCCACTGTTCTAATCGGTCTGTCATTTATAGCTAGTGTAGCTTTGAAAAAATATTTACATACGCGAGTCCTTTGATTGTTCAGGATGAAGTAAAAAGCGTTATTCTGTTGGCGATGGCTACCGTCCCGTTTATATTGATACTTAGGCTGAACTAGGGACATACTTGTGGCTAAAAAGTCTCGTTGCCTATGTAAATTGCCTAAGCCCCACTATTCGGAAAAAAGAGTTTTACGATTTTCATCTGTAAATTTCTTGCTGCATTGCAGCTTGCATTTGTCTCCACAGGGAGGCAGAATGGTCCTAGAAGGGTGCAATTTTCTGATTTTCGAAACTGACACGTATTCTTTACCTTCGTTTCTCAGAGCTTTTGCAGCATTTTTTCGCCACTTTTCCGGGAACCTTAAACGCTTTCTTCCAGTTTTGGTTGTCTGGCTGCAATTTACTACTTTTCTAGCTACATTTGAGCAGCGGTGCGAACTCTGGTCAGACTCTTCTGCGAAACCTCCATTGGAATCACTTGATGATTCACTGGTATTGGAACTGAAATCCGGGTCAGCTCTGGAGTCATCCGAACCCAATGGGTCTTCTTCAGGTCCAGAGTCAGAGTCAAGCCCATTGCTTGTTCCAGGCACTTCAGCAATTTGACATATTGCCAAGTTCTCTTTCTGCATTTCTAGGGCATCTGCCACCATCTTCCTTGTTCGACTACTATACTCCATAGCTAAAATTAAAAAAAAATTCATAAAAATTGGTATTAGTTTCCTGAAAACATATTTTTCAGCTTTTTTGAGGCAAATTAAATTATAGTTTCAGAAACCAATAATTTTGAATAATTCCTCGAAATACATGGAATATCATGTATGTTGACCATACTCAATCAATTCCCAAACTCCAGCCTGATCAGCAAAACTCATTTAATAGATTCAACGTAATGCTTGTTCTTTATGTAATGTGATCTGGTACTTTTTGCTCAATATGGCAACGTCGCAACACAAGAGCGAACACGTCGGATTAATCTATAATCTGGAAAATATAACTCAGAAACAACGGCTATTTGTTGCCATTTTGCTTTATTATAAACACGACACCCATCTGAACAAACACATCGGTTTCATCGGGAGGTTCAGCAGTCTGGCTGTGCTTGAATCAAGCCAGATAGTGTATTTGGAACTGCTTTATGAATGAGTAGTCATCACTGTAAATACAACTTGTATGCTCTGGAATCAGCTACTTGAAGCAAGTGTCTAATACACATTAAAAATGTTACACATAAAAGTGGCAAAACCGAATGTTGCAATATAGAACAAAGTATACTTTCTAGAGTCAATTTCAGTAGAAAACCGACATATCCACAAATGCTGCACAAAATAGTACGGTTTTGCCATCAATTTCAGGAGAAAACTGACACAACATTAAATGTGACGGTCTAGGAAAGAAATAAAAGAATATTTTAGGGCTTACCTTATCTTGAAGAATGACACAAATCGAAATATAACAGTTTTCGTCCAAGAACACTGCCTATCAAAACGTAGTAACACGTAATGCTACACTTTTCTTCAATAGCTCGGAAAAAAATACGTGTTTTAATCTGAAATATGACGGTTTTCCACTCAAAGCTAGTACATTCCCCTATGACGACTGGATTAATACTGAATTGTGCCGGTTTAGACCTATAAGGGGTACGTCACTTCAAAAACGACATAAGTGCCACCTGTTGGTAGTTTGAGAAAGTCGAGATGTGACACTTTTCCACATAATAAAGTAGATAATTCTGAACCGTTTGGTGTAGTAATCTGGATTTTCATCTTTTTTGAGTTGTGACGGTTTTCCTGCGAATGAACGATATGGTCATAAGCATGATATTCGTGGACAACCTGTAGCAATTTGGAAAGGCAGTTACCAATATCGCTCTGACTATTCAAAGCTTCACCCCTCACCCTTTCCACAAAAGGTTGGGATACACCCCTGTTAGAAATTGCGCACCCGACAAGGATTTTATCTGCAAATTTCGCTTTATGTTTGTATCTAACATTTTCAAGGCATTCCTCTACGTTGTACGTATAAAATCCTTCGCTTCCATTCATTTCAGAATTACTCAAAGATAAATACTTTTTGTCATCTAAAATAAGGATTTTTCCATTGGCAGAGTGTTGACGACAGCATCTTGGTATACGAAGGAGTTGCGCTTGAGAGTATTTGGATCACTTAAGTCTCTTTCGATATTTCAATTCCAACTCTTAGAAAATCTATATTGACGAACCAGTTAACATTCCAACCAGACTGTTTGCTCTTCTCGCCGATCTCTCAGACCTCTGTGCAGTAAATTCACGTGATCTTCCACATTTTGGGAGATCCAGACATGGTATTCCATGCTCGTACAATTCGACAGAATTCAGCTTTGGATACGCGCCCAAGTAACTTGTAGATACTTTTTCATATTTCTAATTCATACGACATCTTGAAGATAAAACTTCAAAATAAGTAAATGTCAACTGACAGTAACGTAAGTAAACAAACTTTTGTTTCCAAAGGCAACTTGATATTATTTTCTGTTTGTTGAAATTGAAGCCAATGAATTTTGTGCCAAAACGTTTAGGACATACGTAACATACACCTATATAAGTATATTTTGTTAGACACACGCATGAATTAATAATAATAATATAATAATATAAGTTTATTCACGCATAAAGTATTATAGTTTATTGAAAATAAATATGCATATATACGCAAATAAACTGAAATAGTCCCACAGAAGAATTTAATTCTTGTGCGTGCGAAAACATTTTTCATAACAATTTCTGCTTTGAACATAGTTAAATATAGTTAATACATAAAGTTAAACACAACATAACCATAAAGGTAAGTGTAATAATATTATATTCGAATACTGATTTATTTTCATTTTAGTGGGTTTTTCTTTTTCATGTCGATTATTATTTAACAAGAATTTTTTTATCTCAATTTTGATTCCATTTTTATTTGAAACGGATTTTATATGGCTTGGTAAAAAGTTATAAAATCTAGTGGAGAGGTAACTGAAGCATCTTTGACCTACATTTTTTGTTGTAAATGGTGCTTTTAATATCCTCGACTTCACTTCTTGTTTCATATTTATTTGTGGTCCAATGAAATGAGGTTTGTTTTATTTTTGAATAAATTGATTAAAACATTGTAAAAAAGTGTTGCCTAAGATCGAGTAGTCTCGCTTCGGAATATAACATATCAGATGGATATAAAATTGGCCGTTTAAAAATAATTTTCGAAAATTGTGTTTGGATTATTTCCAGCTTCTTAATTTTGTTGGTGAGAGCACCACCCCAAGCCAGTATGGCATAATTTAGGCGACATTCAATAAGTGCATGATATAGCATCTTCATTGTTTCATGGTCTAGATATTTAGTGAGGTGCTTGAATTTAAATAATAATCGTCTTAAATTAGTTACTATATGATCAACATGGAAATTCCATCTTAAATGAGGATCCAAATGAACACCTTAATAGTTTGTTGTATCAGCTGAATGTATTAATGTACTTGTATTGTCACATTTAATTTGTAAAGAGGTAAATGACGGTAATTCATTTTTAAGGTTTGTGAACGGCATGTACATGGTTTTCTGAAAATTGATTGTTAGATATTTGGGTCTAAACCAATCTGAACTTAAAATAATGTCATTTTCAACAGTCTCTTCAAGATTATCCCAGGAACTGTTATTAGAATAAAGCATCGCTGTGTCATCTGCAAAACATATTATTGTGCCTTGCGACTTCAAGCTAAGTAGGCTATTGATATACATAGTAAAAAATAACGGGCCTAAAACTGTCCCTTGTGGTACACCATAAGTCACAGTTCTTTCCGAACTTATTGAATCACTTATTTAAACATATTGCTTTCTGTAGAACTTCTCATAAGGTTTTGAGAGTTTCCTCTAATTCCTGCATCGTATAAAGTTTCTAATAGTTGGGAGTGATCCACCTTATCGAACGCTTTTGCTAGGTCTAAGAATATGCATAATGCATATTTACGTTGCTCTAATAATTTATGAAGTCAAGAAAGAAACCGCGTCTTGAGTAGATTTATTTTCTTTAAATCCAAATTGATTATCATGTATAAGCTTATTTTTGTTGAAAAAACTAATGAGCCTATCCTTTACGATTTTTTTAACTAGCTTTGCCAAATTAGATATTAACGTTATTGGTCTATAATTGCTGGTATTTGATATGTCGCCAGATATATGAAGCGGTGTTATTATTCCTATTTTGTAAGAGTCTGGGAAAACCCCAGATTCAATTATCAAATTTGTTAAAAATGTTACTGGTTTTCTAATTTCAGGTGCAATTTTTTTGAGTACCTCTGACCGTATGCCATCTAAACCTGGACTCTTTTTATTTTTTAGGCTGTAAATGGTATTTTATTATTATTATTATTAAACAACAAATTTGAGTTGAGTACAAGTACTATAAACTCAAACACATAATAGATAATAGTGTACAGACAAAAGAAATATAACAATCTGACAATCTTAGCACTTCTGAAGTAGACATATACAGAATGGGAACAATATGTTAAGCACTGCGGTGTCTATCATAATTGTTTTTGAAACTGTTGACGGATGCCGAGTTCACTACATAAGATGGAAGACTGTTCCATGCATCGAAGACACGGTTTGAGATAAAGCGCTGACGAGTAGAGGTTCTAAAAGCTTCCTTCTGCAATTTGAAGTTATGGCCTCTGAGATTGTTCGTTGCCAGACGAAACAGATGCGACATGTCCACACCAAACAAATTATGCAGTGCTCTGAAAGTGATGATGAGATCTCCTCGCATTCTTCTATCAGCAAAAGCAGCAGGTTATATAACTCGAGGCGGTCTTCATAACTCGGCTTACGTGTGCCATAAGGCATACGTGTAGCACGACGCTGAACCGCCTCTAACAAGCTGCTATCGGGAACAAGGTTTGGATCCCATACCGGAGCAGCAAACTTCAGTAGGGGTCCTACGAAATTTGTGAACAAGAAGGAGGAGGTACTAACGGTGCAACCGCTAAATGATCTTTCCATCATATATAGAAACCGCTTTGCCTTAGAGGTTATGTTCTGAATGTGCTCCGACCAGGCTAGCCTGTCATTAACTGTCAGTCCAAGATCTGTGTGAAGAAAAACAGTCTCTAAGGTATGTTTGCCAAACTTATATGTTAAGTTATGATTATTCTTTCCCAGGTGGAGAACGTAGCATTTCTAGAGATTTAAAGGCAGGAGCCAAAGTTCTGACCACTTTCTGATCAGCTTGAGGTCTTCTTGAAGCACAGATGAGTTCATGGCAGTGTTATAGACTTTAGTATCATCTGCATAAATGGAACACATAGAAGAAAGTCGGGTGGGAAGGTCGCTTGTATAAAGAAGAAAAAGTATTGGCCCTAGCACAGATCCCTGTGGAACTCCACTAGTAACACGATATCTAGAAGAATGGGTGTGTCCAACACGGACGGAAAAAGATCTATCTAACAAAAAAGCTTCAATCCGTAACAACAAATTTCCGATCGAAAGCTCTGGAAAAATCCAGATAAACCACGTCGACCGGTTCATTTGCGTCTAAATATCTGGTCCAATTGCCGATGTAGTGTAACATGTTGGTGATAATTGATCTACCAGGAATAAAACCATGTTGGTTGCTAGGCAGCAGGTTGTTTTTGAACGCAAATGTCATAAGTTGTTCTTGG